TTGTATATGATAGACTACCATTTTATTAAATTTTCAAAATATAGCTATATTTGATTTGTATAACACGTTTTTTTATAATCGTATTACCTTGTAGCTAAGGGAAAATCGGAATAATCAACCTGAGCCTCTCGGAACAACAGACGAAGAGGGCCAAACCAACTCGCTCACAAGCCATTCTCTTGCCAGTTCTACCTTAGTTGCTTCTAACCATAATCGTCTTCGCCGTCTGCCTACTTCCCGCGTCACCTCCAACCAGCCCCCTTCCGGTGGAATTGGCCGGATTAGCATTGCTAACAACCACAGCTATGATGAAGACGATAGTTGCGAGGAAGGATATGAGTACAATCGCAGGGAAGCCTTGGATATGCGTAATGGCTCCCGAATACGCTCATCTTTTCCTGGGTCCAAAGATGATTATATATTGAATCGGCCTCGTCCGCGACAGTTAATTCAACCTACTAGCTATCAAGCAAGGCGTGGCCAACCTCTGCCCTCAGGGACTTCAGTGCGAGGTGGATATTTGGCCTGGCGTACGCGACAACAGCAGCAGCAACAACAACCACAATGGAAAGGACAGTCTAGAAAGGAATGTGAAGAATCCGGTTACGATGGAGATGACTATGAAGGCCATAATAAAAAATTGATGGCTGCAGAGCCTGCAGAGAAGTCGAGCCAAAAGCAACAAATTAATGAACATAGCAGCGACGAGTCGGAAGACGAAGAGGAGGAGATGAAGGAAACTCTTGGCAAGCGCCAGGTTTACCTATCTAAAAATAAGTCAGGTGGTCCCGGCCTCCTCAGAGTGACTCGACGACTCGATAATCAACAGATCCGCCAGCAGCACTATCCGAATAATCTTGGAGCTGGTGTAGGGATGGCCAGACGTCATACGCCCACTGAGAGCTCTGGCTCGAATGAACCACACTCTGGTCCACCCGGCCGCAGGAGAGGCCCTGCCTTCGGAAGACCTTTGGATGACGATGCGGGGAATAGCCGGTCTGGTTTTGATATGCGGACTGGTCTTGCCTCGCGCCGTTCCGGTCGTTTAACTACAGTCACCAACATCAATCGCAGATTAGGCCCTCCCATGCCGGGCAGTTTTCAAACAGAGTCTAGCCAATCACGAGTTGGCCGTCGGGATGACCTCACAACACCTGAGTCCATCGGTGGTTATCGGAGGTCTTCACAACAGCATCATTTATCTTCAACAACGACGATACAGGGCTCTGCTGGTCCGCCAGTTACCGAAGGTCCAAAGAGGTATCTCGCAGCTAAAAAACCCACTTACCAATCCACTGGCAGCGTAGCTGCATCTACCAGTGGTCCCGTAGTTGATGAGCAGT